AATGTCAGACTTCGATGATGAAACAATAGCACTGCCAAAGTTAAGGAATATCACGTCTACTACTTGTAGAATGAACCCTGCGAGAAATAACAGGGTGGGAGCTAGTGTAAGTGAACTAGTTTCAGTATTTGGACACACAACCCATTGATTTTTCTGGTTGGGGCATGTGTCACGATTAGAGTTGTGCTTTTATACACACAAAATAATACTCTTCACGTATCAAATTGTTCAAATTGTCAATTTCGTATCATTGATACGTCAAAGTGGGTCACATTGACCCACAAAAGGGCTAGAAACGTGCACAGTTATATGAACAATGTCACACTCATTTCCTTGAGAGTGTGCATACAACAACGTCACCAACACGACGAATAAATCTCGACCGGACGAACGTCTTCAAGTTAGTCTTAGTGTTGCGCTATTTTATAAGCAATAAATAAAATTTTATATATTACAGTTTTTAATTAAAATATTTTAAAATAATATGATATTAAATAACATTTTCTTTAATCGCTAAAAAAGTATTAGTTTGTGCATTTTTTGCTGTCTTGAAGCCGATGATTTATTGAATGAATTATGTAAAATATTCTCACTGTTCACGCAGATAATATTTGGTTCTAATTTTCAGCCTCAAGGAAAACGATATTTGGTAATATTTCAAATCTTTTCACATATAATACTGATAACGTTATACTCAGTCGTATTTGCCAAGTAATCTTCAGTCATGAAACAGATATATAATATTCTGTAGCTCAATCTTCATACAACGGTCGCGGTTTAAATAAACCGTTGTCCATTCAATATTCACAAACCTTGGTTATACGGAGACGTATTAAATTGACGTAATTAGAACGTATTGATTAGACGTAATTTAAACGAATTTATTGGACGTAATTAAAAGGTATTGATTGTACGTAATTAAAACGTACTGATTACTGATTAGACGTAATTAGAACGTATTGATTAGACGTAATTTAAACGAATTTATTGGACGTAATTAAAAGGTATTGATTGTACGTAATTAGAACGTACTGATTACTGATTAGACGTAATTAGAACGTATTGATTAGACGTAATTTAAACGAATTTATTGGACGTAATTAAAAGGTATTGATTGTACGTAATTAGAACGTACTGATTACTGATTAGACGTAATTAGAACGTATTGATTAGACGTAATTAGAACGTATTGATTAGACGTAATTAGAACGTATTGATTATATGTAATTAGAACCTATTGATTAGACGTAATTAGAACGTATTGATTATACGTAATTAGAACGTATTGATTATACGTAATTAGAACGCATTGATTATACGTAATTAGAACCTATTGATTATACGTATTTAGAACGTATTGATTATACGTAATTAGAACGTATTGATTAGACGTAATTAGAACGTATTTATTGTACGTAATTAGAACCTATTGATTAGACGCCACTAAAGCAATTAGAGTGAAGCAGACTTCAGTGTATGAAGAAAATTGCCCAATAGATAATGGAGGATAAGGGTTGAGAAGCTCAATTACAGAAGCACCCAAACAATAATGATCAACATTTAATGTCCATTGTATGTCATGCATTCATTGTTACGTTATCGGTTTAATTTGTATTCGAATTAAAATCTCTATTGAATTCAGCGAATTTCTTTTTTGGGCGCCGCGTTGAAGTCGGTGGGGCTAAGTAACATGAACAGCGCCTGAGATAAACGCAAATTAATATCTTCAAGTAACAATAATTAATCTACTTAGATTCAATTCATATTTTCTTGATTGATTTAATTTAAATTGTATTAAGCGGTCTGAAGACTATCTGAAATAGGTATAATAGGGCCACTGCCAATTGATCAAGATAATAATATGATTATCTTGCTGATCAATCTGGAAATTTGAATTTCATACTCAGGATTGTATCTTGATAATAATTTAATTATGTAAATAACAGTTTGATGATGAGAGAATAATTGGATAATCTAGATATTGAATGGTTAGTCTAGATTATAATTTAACGATCTAAATAATTAGATAATTTATATACTGCTTGGAGAATCAACATTCTAATTGGTTATGAATAATCGATAAATATTTATAATAATATAATAAAGAGACTACCAAGCGATTAGATGATCGAGCAATACAATCAGTGTCCTGCACTCGACCTGAGAACGGACGTAGAAGTAATACGCCTTTTACTAGGTCTGTAAGGGTCGCCTGCCGAAGACCACAACTGCTCTGGATGTAATGGACCATCATGATTCCTGCCTTCCGGAACGTAGCCTTCAACACTTCAAGCCGTCCGTATCTAGGCCGTGGGTCGAACCAGCCCTCGGTCGAACGGCCACTTGTCGAAGGACGATAAATTTTGGAACAGAACTATGCTATCTGAAACCTAACCTCAGTTGCGGTGAACGTAAAATTACGTAATTTGAAGATGCCCAGAAGTCATATTCGATCCACGGCCTGGTGGTGCACGGCAGGTGGTGGTTAAGGCCGGATAAGGACTAAGCCGAGTGGTGCACGGCTGATTGGTGTAGGTCCGGAGAGATCCAAGGCGTTCGATTCAGGGCTTATTGGTGCACAAAATTGTTGGTGCACGGCTGCGCTCCCGGTCTGTTAGACGTGAGGATGCTGGCATCGCGACATTGGTCCCCCCTCTACCGCCGTATGTCACTCCCAAGGAACATAACTTTCAACCTAAATTATACGTAAACTATTGAGTGTAGCAACCTGAGGACGTTTGTACGCAACAGAGAACATTTAAAAGTAACTTTCAACTTTAATTATACGTAAACTATTGAGTGTAGCAACCTGAGGACGTTTGTACGCAACAGAGAAAATTTTAAAGTTGTCGTACGTGGCGGCAACCACCAGTGCAAGTCATTTTGCGTTCACTGGAACTTATCCTTTTTGGGAAATAGGCTTGTGACAATATTGCTCCGGTTACTCGTGTCAGGCGGTAGAGGGTTAAAGACGTTTAAACGTTTGATTGTACCAAACCCCCTATGCATCGGCTAAGGCTTCAGAGTCAGTGACCAGACAGTGTCAGCGTTTTACAATCTGCGCTCCGCATTAGGGAATGAAACACGGTAGACCTATAGCTCTACTGGATCAAGGTTTGGATACCAATTACACGGTATTACAGATGTGCAAATGAATATGACAACTGGAGTTAATTGATGTTGTAACGTCCTAGGTCAGTGCTAATAGTATAAATATGTAGCTAACTTATATTTAACAGGATTCTAATTGCAGTTCATAATTATTAATGATACTGAAGGCAGTAACAAGGATAATAATATTGAGTTAAGAGTTGATGAGTAACTCCGTTAAATTATAATAGGCTAGCAACGTTCATAGAAAATGAGTTGAAGGGGTAACTGCAGGAAATATATATGCATGGACGCTACAGGCCAACCTGTGTGTAAAAATTGCATCGTTATTCAGACAAAATTTCACTCATTTTTTTTCGAGTGTGATGACGAACACTTAATGAGACAGACCAGTGGATAAATTAATTAACAATAATCAATAAATAATTAATAATGAAAAATTAAATAATAAATGGATAATTCTTTATAAGCTTCAAGACAAAATTTAATGTAAGAAATCGTTAAAGGCTTACATTCGTCGAGGCGAATGGACAATAAAATGCAAAGCGATTAAAAATTTGTTTGTTTTTACAAATATTTCGAACACATTTAGTAAACATAGATCAACAGCGAGTGAGGGGTGGGCAGTGAACTGAGGGGCAGAAGCAACTGAAACAAAACAAATTTAATATTATTTTATATGCTTTGCTAAGCTGAGCTCCCAGGCCCCACCACAGCCCATGCATGTACACATTAAACAAACTCGGAGAAATATCGCTGACCTTTACAGCTCTCGTCGCAGGTCACATAAATATCAATTCGTTATAGTTTCCGCAGGCAGCGGTCGAAAAAATTCAGGTTGATAATAACACATTGAATAACATTCAAGGTCACATGAATATAATTTCGTTGAAATTTCCGCAGGCAGCGGTCGGAAAAATTCAGGTTGATAATAACACATAATTCAAGTAAGTGTTCCGCTTGATGAAATGGGCGATACAGGTGAAAGTGGTAGTTCAATCTTCATTTGAATGAAGAATGTATTCTAGTTTTGTGTATGAAATGGGACTAGGATGACTAGTGTTGCCTCAAAAAGTGGAAGATTAAATCCTAATATCTGTTTTTTTGAAGCCAAAATGAATGATAAAAGTTCCAAAACTTTATCAAAGTAACTTTAGCAAAAGGAATGCAGTGCATGCTTTGATAACAATTGCGTTCTGCAAGGCCCACGAAAGCTACTGGCTGCCGTTAAAATGTTGTACAAATTATCACAAATTAATATACAAATCAATCAAAATTCAAAAAATATTATAAAATTAATCTCGCATGCAGTGATTTAGACAAGAATATTTGTGCTTCAACAATGAGGACCACCTTATTAGCAAAAAACTGTAAAACTATTGAACGTAATTCATTCAGCTGGAGCACACACGGTAAATTAGCTGGAATGTCAGCCGGCAAAACAAGCGTTCCGTCAAACGCCTGTAGATAATAAGATGAACGTCGCCCTTCCATTGTATTTGTCTAGAAACTTTTTAAATATATGATTCTGAAATCCAGTTGAACTCCTAAAACAATACATGATTGAACATCACGATGATTTAGAAGCATCAAGCATGTCAATGCGTGAAATATCAAACAGTATTTCGGTGCTTCTCAACTAACTACCTAGGTTTCATCAGCTGACACGAGGCTCACAAATATAAATACTTTCACATATTACTTTCTCGAAATATATAACAAACAACAAAATATTTTCAAAATTAAGCGTTTCAATTTCTAGATTATCCATCCGTCTGGACTGTCGTCTGTGGGGCACTACACTGTCGCCTGTGAGGCGCTACACTGTCGCCTGTGAGGCGCTACACTGTCGCCTGTGATGCACTACACTGTCGCCTGTGAGGCACTGGCGCCTGTGAGGCGCTACACTGTCGCCTGTAAGGCACTACACTGTCGCCTGTGGGGCGCTACACTGTCGCCTGTGAGGCACTACACTGTCGCCTGTAAGGCGCTACACTGTCGTCTGTAAGGCACTACACTGTCGCCTGTGAGGCACTACACTGTCGCCTGTGAGGCGCTACACTGTGGTCTCAGTAAGGTAGGACAGCGCTGCGGCGCGCGCCTGGGCAAGGCGCTTGAAGGCCTCCTCGGCGCCTGGGGCGGCGCACTTGTCGGGGTGCACGAGGGCGGCGAGGCGGCGGTAGCTCTTGTTCACGTCCTCCCTGCACGTCAGCATGGCCGTTATAATCTACGTTAATATAGAGGGTAGTTAATGATCGTTATGGTCAACGTTAATATAGAGCATTTCATTGGAAATAACTGATTACCTGAAAACGATTTATTGTTCTATATAAGATCAAATGATTTAAGATTTACATTAGTTCGTTGGTTGCTCCTGACTAGTTCGTTATTGTTACAATTAAGAGAGATTATTCAATTGGAAATGACTTATGAGTGCACATTACCATAGTTCGATACCGTCAGCATTCACAGAAATGATTTAAGGTGAGCGTCTGGGTCGAAAAATTGAAAAATTTGGCTTTTCCGTTTTTAGGGCTCATTGTGTAACTGCGGAAAAGGCGCGTCTAACGCAGCAAATCGCAAGTACCTATGTTCGTGCTCCAGTTTTTGCGTAAAGCAGTTTCAAGTTTATATTGAATGAACATTTTCAACAAAATTTTCAAAGATTATTCAGAAAAATTGAATTTATAGAGCATTATTCGCGTTAATTGCGATCTGCATTTTAAAGCTAGGTACAAACAAGGCGTGTTGAACGCAGCAAATAGCAATAGTTGTTGTTTCAAGCCGTTTTGCACTTTTATAAGCAATATATAGTCACATACACATAAATGATCATTTTATATAAATAAATATATCAGAGTTATTACATTTATAGCTCATCTTTCGCATTAAACTGGACAAGAATAAGTCTAAAGATGCGTGATGGTATCCTCAAGACGAGCAATTGGCAATGGAAACGCTCGGGCTACAGTATCAAGCAGTTTCTTTTATCAGTTTTTTGTTTTTCTATTAATTTTACTTATCTGGTGCTCCTGAACAATTAAAATTTTCAAAATACGCCATCTTAAAAATCTATCCCCTCATGTGATATGTGAGCTACAACATTGAGAGATATATCATTACCGTACCTATATTCATAAAGACAATATCTAGCAACTATAGATGCTCTTTTTTCTGATTTGTACACGGTTTGGATTATATATTATATAAAAAATAGAGGGAGGTGGGAGATATGGGAGAAAAATGGAAAAAGTTGTATAATAGAAATAAAATAAAAAATTGCAAAAAAAAGGGTTTCCAGAGTCCATAGATATTCTATTTACAAATTGAATGATAATCTTTCGATATTGTAGCACGTAAATCAAAGGATGTAAGGATTCTTGCCGTTTTCTATGTATTTCACGTTTCTTTTAGTTTTTTTCTATAATTCACAGGAGGAAATTATCTACATTCTATTATCTATTATCTCTTCTACAACTGCGTACGAGGTTTTACAGAGCTCCGTCTGTACATAAATAAGTTTTTTTTTACTCAGAAGCTCCCCTTAATTGAAAATGACTTAAGAAAGCACATTAGTTTTTTATCGTGACCATTAAAAGAGATGATATTATTGAAGATGATTTATGATTGCACATGATAAGTTATAATTAATGATTGAAGGTGAATATGTGTTGAAATTACTATGATTATTGTTCATATAGATACCTACGTATGGTTAACCTGGACAGAACTAGACAATAGTTACAAGAAATAAGTTCTAATCGATTCCTTCATCGATCAATGAAAAGAAGGGGAGTTAATATCCGTTTGATTGAGCCACATCGAGTGATTAAATAATTTGCCCGAAAAGGTAAATGATTTCGAATGATTGATTAATGAAGTGTGCTTTCTCCAGTTTGAACGTCAGAACTATTACGATTATTATAGGAACTATAAGGTAAATGATTTCGAATGATTGATTAATGAAGTGTGCTTTCTCCAGTTTGAATGTCAGAACTATTATGATTTATAGGAACTATTTAATTTCTTAAGTGCACATAAGTTGTACAAACTTGGTGGTTCCTCTGCGGTTAAGTTGGAGTTTGTGGAAGTGGTCGGAAGAGCTCAACAAGCGACCGATGGCAGCCTCTGCTTCAGTCTCACTGCCAGCCTGAAATTATTATCAATAATCAACATAAACAACAATCAACATAAAGAATAAGTTGAATAATAATTTGTCATACGAAATAAGCACAAATTCATAACGAGGAAAGATAACCAGGTGAAAATGTTGCTCCAATTTTTCAAACTAGAATCAAAAGCAATAATGACTTTAATCTGAATGGCAAAGACAAAAAATTATATTCTAACATTTCATCATTTAACTGATAGTAATAGTTGGGCCATGATTGAGATTGAACCAGTAAACCGTCATATGGAAAACTATGGATTTCTTTCTTGCTAAGGCCATGGGCCTATTCTCGGTAATAACAGGCCATGGACCTATTTCTTCAGTGCCGACATTTTTATTCTATTCTATAAACTTCAAAATTAAATCTATCAACAAATTGCTTCCGACTCCCTCCATGAAACAAGACCGAGCATGAGGAACAGGCTGATATGAGATCTTTAGGTCGTTTCTTTGGTAACCAATGAAATAAAACTAATAACAAACAAACAAAAAACAGCATAATTCATGATAATAATAGTCATAATTCGGACACAAACCAACCGTGGTGGTTCTTTTATTGGGTGTAGGAGGTATGCCGCCAGCATCAGCACCACCACCAGAGGCAGTACAACCGTTTTTGGTGCCGTTACTGCCATTTTTAGTACAGTTACTGCAATTTTTGGTGCGGTTACTGCCGTTTTTGGTGCTGTTAAAGCCATTTTTGGTGCCGGTGTTCTGCTGATTGGAAGGTGTAGGAGATTTTCGAATGTTCTCCTTGCCGTGTAGAGCAGCCGAGAACAGTGACTGTGGACAAAATGCTAGCTTTAATGAACTGAAGGATGAACTGGTGTGAGTCATAATGCTGCACCCCAACAAACACAACGGAAGGAAGTACGATTGAGAGGGTGACCTGTGCCATTAGAACTTCAATATGAAAGTTTTGCCTGTGACTCACAGATTCATGCGGACCAAAATCAATGAAGTCTGTTGTTTGGAGTTTAATGCGAATAGCACATAATTGCATATCATTGCCCAGACATCATATACCGGTAGTGTTATGAGTTAGTAACTCAAGGCAACTCACCGAGAAGGCTGGGCAACTCACAGAGAAAGCAACGCAACTCACCAAGAAGGCTGGGCAACTCACAGAGCTGGCAACGCAACTCACCAAGAAGGCTGGGCGACTCACAGAGAAGGCAACGCAACTCACCAAGAAGGCTGGGCGACTCACAGAGAAGGCTGGGCGACTCACAGAGAAGGCAACGCGACTCACCAAGAAGGCTGGGCGACTCACAGAGAAGGCAACGCANCAGTAATCAAGAAATTCCTTCCAAAACTACTGAATGGATTTGAACGAAACTTAGTATTTAAATACCTAACCTCAGCAACGGTGATGTTTAGCTCGCTACAATTTTTTCGTTTTACCTTTGTTGGCGAGTTATACGTCCATATGTATACGGATATACGTAAACGGCTCTTGGTTAAATCGGCCGGTAGAAAAACCGGTCGTTCCTCCTATATCTGTATAACTCGCGAACGAAAGCAAAATAGGAAAATTGTCGCGAGCTAAACAACACCGTTGAGAGGTTAGGTATTTATATACAGAGTTTAGTTGAAATCTATTCTGTAGTTTAAAAGATATTTCTTGATCGCCGCGAATTTAAGCGACAAATTATCCGGCGATACAGGCCGAATATAAGGAAGTGTGAAATCAAGAATGACTGTGAAATGAAAAAAAATCGTAAACGAAGGTAAAATAAAAAATTTTACAAGCCAAAAACATTAACGTTTGTAATTAGGAATGTATATTCAAAATTTTGTTCGAATCTGTTCAGTAGTGTGGAAGAAATTCTTTGATCACTGCGAATTTCGGCCTTTATTGCAATATAAATCACGAATGAAGGTAAAATTTTTAAAAAATTTTATGAGCTAAAAATCAACTTTATGTTTTGATGAATATATGTTCCAAGTTTCCTTGAGCTGCGTTCATTAGTTTGGCAGATATTACTTGATAATTGAATTAGGAGATTGGTCGTGCGACTGGCCACGAGTCCGGCCGTGAATTTGCCCGAGACGTCCTAGGTTTCTAGTGCTGAAACAGTTAAAACAGCTTAAAAACATATTGGTTCACTAAATGGGGTTCTATTTGTGAAATACACATTTGTGTTTCAACATTTATCTACTAAAATTGCAGCGTACTAAATTTCAAGAAAGAGGCGTATGTTTTTATATGTGTCTGTGGGGGGCGCTAGAAGTTCACTATAGGGAGCCAACGGGGGCGCCAGCCTGAAAAAGTTTGGGAACCACTGAATTAAAGTAGGTATGGCATTATGGTCTTGGTAAAAAGTGGTTCTTTCATGTCAAAGCAATTTCATTTCATCAGCCATGATTTGATGTTGTATATACTTGATTTGATGCTGTACTCTCAGGGTCTTCATTGATGAGCTCTAAAATCGAAGAGAGTCTTGCATAAATGAAAATATTGCATTTAAATTAAATTACAAGAAGCATCCCATTACATGTTTGGAGCAAACAGGTTGCAGTAAAGCCCACCTGTCGGCCAGCAGGTCGGCCTCCAGTGTCACTGCGGTTGCCAACAACCACCACCTCTAGCGTGGACACTCCACTCCTGAGTAGTGAACAACACATTGAGGCCACACATTTCTTTTTTGCAAATTAATCTTTATATTGCTTAAACTATTCAAGGCATAAAAAAATGGTCGATTATTAGCAAGGGAATCATAGACAATGATTTAAATTTAATTTTAATGATCGGAGTTTCCCACAAAAATTGTTTGATAGGCAAGAAAAACATGAAAAATTTCATGAATTAGCAATATAGATCAGTGAAATGTTATCCTAGATACTGAAACATATAAGAACCATGTTAAGCTAAAGGGAATTAATGGGAGTTTGGATTCAGCTTGCTTTACTATACAGCAATTAAATTTAATATAACTTCATTGCTGATATTTCAAATCTCAGTACCTACACAGACATGGAACCATGAATATAATAAATTAAACTCCTGAAACTAATTTTGTTTTCATGCTGATGTAGGTAATAACTAGCAAAGAAGTATATAAAGTTTATAATGTACCATTGTTATATGGGGGCATTTTTTGGCTACCTTGCACACATATCACACTGCTTTAGGGTAAACAATAAACGTTTATGTGTTTGTTCATGATTTATTATGCTGTATATTACCTTATTTGTTGTTATTACATGCTAATCCTTGCGTCATTCAATGCCAAATTGTTACATTAGTTTTTTGTTTACAGTTATCATGAACTTGATTCTTTATTAGGTTCATTTATTAATTTGCTTAGCAACACTGTTTTTAACTTACACCAGATTTAGAATTAGCCCACTTAGTGCTTGTAATTCTTTTACCTGTTATTCACTGAAGCTGTTCTGTTCCATTATATTAATTGCTTCATAGATACTTTATTAAAATATATGATCATAGGTTCTTGGGTTTCAACTAGTTTCAGTGTAACTTCCTCAATATGATTTAATGTTGTCCCTTCCGTTTTTCTTAAAGGAATCCTTAATTGTTCTCAATGTTTTATACAGTGCATAAGAAAAGTAAATTAAATTGAGATTTTGCACCCTTCAGTTTACTGTACTGAGGGATCTTATTCCCCTGCATTAGGCTCATGTTAGAATTTTAGAACCACTCAGGTAGGGCTCCAAGCATTTTCTTTTTGTGCCACTTTGAACTTTTTTGATTAATTTATGTTAATTTCAGTTAAAGTACAAGATCCTCATTTATAATTCAATAGAAAAATTGTATTCATGAACCACTGAACATTATGGTCATTTCTAATCACAAGAGCAACCATAACATCTTGATAACAATGCCCAAGCTAATGCAGCTGATTTATTTCATTATATTCAATTAATGTCAATGGGAAGCCAACAAATTTTAATAGAAACAACAAAAAATTATTGGATATAATTTCTCACCATCACATTGAGCTGTCAGTCAATGGACTTTTTGACCGCAGTGACAATCAGTTCTTGTTGATGCCTGAGTTATTAGCTCAATGGCGTTGCATATACGCCACAATCCTGTTAATGAAACACAAAATCCAAACTAGACAGGAATTGATGAGAGGACTGATCAGTCTAAACTAAAAGTGTAAATAAGGTGAGTTAGAAATGAAAGGTTAAAAAACATCAGTATACAAATGTTCTCTGGTGCTACATACTGTAATAGACACATACCGTCAACTGGAGTGACTTCGGCCACACCTAGGTACAACAGAAACAAATGCAGCAAAACAAAATAATAAATGTCGGCTAAAGTGACTGGGGAGACTTAGGCCACCAAGGTGACTTTGGGCAATGTTTTTTATTTTGTTTTGCTGCCATTTGTTTCTGTTGTGGGTGCAGCCAAAGTCATCCCCAGTGGCTAAAGTCACCCTAGTAGATGGTATCAAGTAAGAGCACAGAAAACACACATGGACCTTGCTGCATTGGTCACTCCATCTGTACAAGGTTAATTTTAGTCTTAACTAATACCTATTTAATTTCTGTATGAAATTAAAAAAATAATGTTAACAAATTAAGACAAATACAAACTTGAATTGTACACTTAGCTTCAAGGCAAAACTCAAAAACATGTTATTCAACAATCATGAGATATTCAGACACCAATATCATAAAAACTGCAACTTTAGAATAATGTACTAACTGGCCAAGGTTGTGGTGTAGCTCAGCCATCCAGCTGTCCAGGGCCAGGAAGGAGGCTTGGTCAGTGACGTCATAGACCAGCAACACGCCCTGCATGTCTGCATAGAACTCTGATCTCACCTGACAACAAACAAGATAAAACATATATATTATCATCACACATATCTACACATTGAATCTGTTAAATATATAATGCAACAGAAATTATTTTCAACTGATAATACTGTAAGAAATGGCTGCCATTGAATTAAATAGCAGATCTTAGGTTCTAAATATTCAATCAAAGAAATAAAAATCCGTGTAATACACAAATAACGGAATCAAGAGGGATTATTTATTACAAGGGAAATTACCTCTTCAAAGAGGGGGCTGCCAGAGGTATCAAAGAAGTGTACTGACACTACCTGGTCATCAACCTCAACTCTAGTGGAGCCATAGTCTATGCCAATGGTGGGGATGTAGCGGGCAACAAACCGCTGCTCGCAGTACCGCTTGATCAAGCAGCTCTGCCACAGAAAAAGGGAATAGCCCATGATGAATAAGGCTTTGAGACAAGGGGATAACTTGCTAAGGAGTCTCTAAAGTATGCTTCCTAATTAGTTATTAACAGGAAATTGTGCAAAACAAATACATGTCCAACAGATTTAGCACTTTGCATTTAGTGTGTAGTCAAGGCACAAAGCAGGAGAAGAATTGTGGCAGTGTCCTGAATTTAGATTGTCAGTAAATAAGAAAATAGGTAATCTGATTTGATTCATTTTCAAAACATAGGTACGTAGTGACAAAAGAATTCTATCAACAGCATGGGCAGCAAGTTTTGGATACTGTCGACACCATGTCATATAGGTTTTAAAAAGCTTGGCTCATGCATACTGAGTACTGACACATTGACTATTTCGTAAACATAATAACCTGAGACTTTGAGGCTAATGATAGTCATGAAATTCTTTAAAAAAAATGTTATAACAAGCATTAATTTTGTTAAAAATTTCATTCATGTAGGAAAATATGCAGCAATAACTGATAAAGTTGGTAACCAACAGAAAGTGGCTTACCTTGCCCACACCCTCATTTCCCAGGCTGAGAACTCTAATCCGTGGGAGGTTTTCTGGCTGAGTTGGCATTCTTGGTCTTGACTTCTTTGATCTAGAGCTGGCATAATCCATTGTTTATCTAATTGAAATTCTTCAAAAACCTACATCAAACAAGATAAACTAGTTTTATTTTCTGTAGTAAAGATTAACAAGATCCATAAGGGCAATATTTCTCCAAGGGAAAGAAAATGAGCTCCAGTTTCTTCAATAGGAAAGTGTTTACACCTAGTCTTAGGAGGAATAGTTGTATGGTTATTTGAAGCCAGTGTTACAGGCTTGGCTTGAAGCTAATAAGGAAAATAAAAATGTAAATCATTCAAAGTCACTTGCACTACATATAATCAGCAACTTCTTTATTGAAGTCTACTAAAAATTACCAATCTCACCCATGTCCTTTAACTAGAACATAATTTTTGTATTATGGAATGCTTAACCATGCACGTGTTCATCAAAACAAAACTTAGTGCATTTTGAACAACATATCCAGAGTAAATAATTAAATTACCAAAATTTGAGGCAGAAATTTTAATCCAGGTAGAATTTAATTCTTAGTTTACAACATCATAGAAGAAAATAAAATTACAACATTAACTCTGGTCATTTTAGCAATTAGTGACACCAGAGTAACAGGTACATTTCTTCATAGCCTAATAAGGGCACCAATTAGATATGATACTCCCATTGTGTCATCCAAGGAAATAGATGGATATTATTTAATTTCTTAAATGGATAACAATTTCAAAATATCCTAATGATGTAGAGTCCTAAAATACCATTCCTAAAATCCATTGCAAATCTTGAGTAAATATAATTAAAGGATGACAAAGTATTGACAATTTGTAAATTATTGTTTCAGGTTAAAAAATGTTTTTAATTTTTGTCTCATTTGAATGCAAGTTTTGAGGGATGGTAGGTACCGGTACCATATGTCTTGCAAACATTTTACCTAATTTCATGATTTAAATTAATAAGTTAGCTTGATCATTAGTTAATTTGATTAGAAATAACATTGTTAATTAACCTAATTTCACACCAATAATTTAGAGATTGTTTGTTTTATCACTCCATCACAAAGGAAGGGACAGAATTCTTTAATTGTCTGAAGACTCTTATCATTAGTCTGCTAAAATTGCAAGTTAACCAAGAATTTAACAGCAAAGTAACCACCAAGTAAATTAATCATTTCTCCGATTAAATCATATTCATTCATTTAAATTATTTATTGTTATCAACACTGAATTGTTTTGCTAAGTTCCTGTCCTTTATCATGTCTGCACTTCAAATATAACTTTATAATTAGGTTAAAAAATTATAATTCAATATGATAAATCACACTGAATATATAGGTACATACTTATATATAAATGCAATTACACTTTTAGTGCATATGTGTCTGCACATATGCACTCATAACTTTCCAACTGTTTTTTTTTCATATTGATGTTTTTTAAGGCTTTCATTAAACATATTTGAATAGTCAGCTGTGTAGATATGTTTTGTACTATTGTAGGTATTTAAAACTAATTTTGGAGAATTTCACATACATTGAACAATTTTTGGAGCTTGCCATGGATTGGCATTAATAAAATTTTCATATACTGGTACTAGTATTGTGTTTGGTTGCCCAAATATAAGCATATGAGCACCCTAATTGGGTTACACTTTTCAGAAGGGATCTACTTTAATATCTGAGTTCCTGACATCCAAGATATCAGGAGCCTAGTGAGTTCCCTGCAAGCCCAAATTTGGTGCAAATTAAGGCTGATGTTTCAAGTTGATTGCACCCAGTGGATCTCCCTGCATTTATAATGATATAATATAGTGGTATCAGCATTTAGTAGGCCATAGGCCTGTTGCCGATTCTTGACATTGCAGAACATCCATATCTTGTTGCAGGCTTGAATTTGCTACTCACCGCTTTGAATTTTCTTTGCTTAACCGCCTGGCCTCCTTGCTGATTTTGACCAGAAACTGATGCACAGAGCTGGGATCAAACCTGCACCTCTGACCTCTCTACTTTAATCTTGGTACTCTGAACTTTAACCACTGGGCCATCCTGCCCATAAGATGGAGACTGAAGAAATATTGCTATGGAGAGACTGAAAAAATATTGGAATATGTAAATGGTTATTAGCTTTCTAAGAATTTAATAATAAAATGTGCAAAATTTTTTCATTAGAATCTTAATTCAAAGGGTAGCCTACCCAATCTTGTGAATCTGTCAATTGTGTGGACAGGCTTAAAATTTTCCTACTTGTAACTGAAATCTCGAGACTCCAATGTGACAAATATTTGATACATTTGGAATCCTGCCAGGTGGTGCAATTTTGTTAACAATTAGATAGGAGGTATTTCATCTGGCAGAAATCTTGCAGTACCAGACATGGTGGGAAAGCTCTAGTTGCAGGCCCACAGGCACAGCTCGCAAGTTAAATGTTTTCCACGCTTGCTTGTGAATTTTCTACCTAACTACTCTGGGTAGACAATCCACAAGATTGAGTTTCATTGATATTTACTACAGCCTCATAGATCCAGATTGCAAGCAATATGAAATTCTAATTAACATTTAAGCTCCACCATCTATACAGACATAGGTAGGGTAAACGCGGTATATTCCGACACATTAAGGACGCATCAAGAAATGAATAACTATAAAAAAAATGCATGCGTTACGTAAGTTCTGTTGCCTTTACATGACTCTCAAAACACTTCACTACGCGTCAGCAACGATGAAACGTCACAAAATGTTGCCATATTTATTAAAAAGCCTTTAGAATGGAAACCTACCAAATCCCTATATTCCGTCACTTTGTGTGGCAATATTCGACACGTGGTGAGTCGTATTGCGTCAGCGCTTCAAATTTAACTGATACGTATTGCCAACATCCATGTGTTTGAATTCTGTTTGCTGTGTGAGCTGTATTGGGATACAACACGGCTTTGAATTAGAACACTAACGAATATTGAACACTACCTTATTACGTTTTAATTAACAGCTATTAGGCTTTTAATTAAGCAAATTTCAATTTTTGTACAAAGCTTCGAACGATCTGTGTGTGTCCAATTCAAGTTGTGTCGGAATTAGTTTTCATGTGTCTGGCATGCATTGTCTCTCTTTGGATCTCAATATTTTCCCACTAGATGGCCAAGACCTAGTGTTTTGGCAGTATTTTGACTCGCAAATGTATGACGTCACCATTTCAACCATCAATGAACGCATGGAACTAAAACAAAGCTTAATATAAAGGAAAAGCTGGAGAGGTGACGGAATTACCTACAATGTCGGAATATACCGCGTTTACCCTATGATAGGTAGTTATTTTGATGGTCTGAAATTATTTGAGATTTTTCAATCTATACAATACAACCTACAAAGTGTAGGATATGAATAAGCAAACCATTGTTTAACCACAATACAACTTTTGACATAATATTGATACTTCTAATTCTAAACTATCATAGCCTCAAACATTTTGAGCCTAAAATTTGATTAAAGATGTATTTTAAGGCAATTGAATAGCCAGAATCTACAAAGGGCATGATGTAACTACCAATTGCCAATCACATAACTTGTAACAGGCTAACAGGCATAAAATTGAATGCTGGTGAGCTGCTGCCTGGTGGCTGGTCACAAGCCTGGCAAAGCACCAGCCGCTGGTGCTTTGCCAAATTTATTTCAGCATCTATAGTTGACTTTTCAGTCTTTTTGTACCGTAGGGTGTAGCCAGAAATTTATTTCAGCATCTATAGTTGACTTTTCAGTCTTTTGGGGCTGTAGGGTGTAGCCAGGGGCCCAGGGCGGGGCCCATAGTGATAGTGGCAAAGCAGAGAGTTCTTTAGAGTTTAGACTCTCCCTCAAGTTCATTTTTGAGTCCTATAATTAAAGCAGTAAAGTATAATGGATACCAGCATTATCATACATAAGAAATTGATTTAAATCTTGAGAAAATAAGTAAATTAAAAATGACCTGATTCTAAAAAATCTCTGGTTTGTCACTTTTGTGAAATGTGAGGCAGGTTGTGACTTGTGAGACACTGGTTTGTGAGGCAGGGCCAGCCGCCCACAGCCAGTCAGCCACAAGGCCCACAACCAACTCACAGCCAAAATGCAAAAGCAAACGATAATAGCAGTTATAGCACCGTAGGTCTTCAGCCACTGCTTCCATGGTCAGGAAGATGTGCCAGGTGCGCAGGAATTTATTTTGTCATTTTAACGACCTGCGCGGTGCGCCATGCTACGTTGGTAGAAAAATGCGCCGTGCGCCGTACTTTAGAAAGCTAAAATAGTTCTACTATTTTAGTAGACAATATACGCGAGTATATTGATTACGCGAGTCGAACTGACAATAATAAAATGTAAGACATGTCCGGGTTACTTCTGACTCTTCCGGTTGTCCGCCTTGTTGGATACGGAACGTACGGTAATCATAAACTGCGGTCGTTATACATACGAAATGTAAACAGACGGTGTTCAGTGTTGCCATATGACTTTGGAGAAAATTTCTTCTAAAATAAAGATGGCCGGGATTGCGTGAACACATGCGCAAAGATAATCAATTTTCATTACATTGCGCCAACTGTGCACAGCAATAGCTTAAAAAAGTGAAAATGCGCGGGAAAATTCACCGAAAACATACATCATCCTGAGTGTGGCACTGCTTAAGAATGCTCGCTCATAAGCATGCCAATGATGCCATGCCCCATCCGCATCCGGTTCTAGCTACCCACTCCAGCGTCCAGCCTAACCTCTTCATGCTGTCCCAGCTATCATGAGCTATGTAGCTCACAAGTCACAACCTTCTTTCAGGCTTTCAGCCAATGACTGGCTGAGTCTGGGCCTCTGGCTCTAGCAGCATACTTGGACTGCCTTTATAACTTCTTGCAGGCTGCAGCCAATGAGGCTAGGTTAGGTCCGCCGTCCGCTCAGCCGGGTCAGCCCTCAGGTTTGTTTGGGTGGAGAAAGGTTGCAGCTGGGTCAGTGGCAGCCTGGGTTGCCTGCCTAAGACCACGACCACCACTGCCCTGTACCTGTATCTGTACCGGAACGTAGCCTTCAACACTTCAAGCCGTCCGTATCTGGGACCTAGTATGGAATATATCTACTTGGCGAGCCGCGACTGAATTTTTCGAGCCGTGGTTTTATGGATTTGCCAGCCGTGATTCCATTTCTACGAGCCTATTTTTTAATCAAACAAAAATTTATGACATTCGAGCCGCGAGATTTCATACCTACTGAAATTATATGATGATAGAGCCGCGATATTTCAGACAAAAATAGGACTTTTCCAGACTAGTCTGGGACATGGGTCAAAGTCAAACCAGCCCTCGGTCGAACGGCCACTTATCAAAGGACGATAAATTTTGGAACACAACTATGCTATCTGGAACCTAACCTCAGATAGTCAGATGCAGTGAACGTAAAATTATGTAATTTAACAATGCCCAGAAGTCATATTTGATCTGCGGCCTGGTGGTGCGCAACTGCACGGCATGTGGTGGTCAAGGCCGGAAGAGGACAAAGCCGAGTGGGGCACGGCTGATTGGTTTTGGTGTACCCGTGTACCTAGGACTAGGAGTCTAGGACTGTAGGTCATGAGAGATCCAAGGCGTTCGATTCAGGGCTTATTGCTGCACGGGCCCACGGCTGCGCTCCTTTGCAGCTTGTATAGGTTAGGCCAGAATCCAGATGCAGTATCAGTATGGCCATGTTTACATTTGGCAAGCTTATTCTGCTTCTGGGGCTGTGGAGTTGTAGTGAACGTCTCGAAAAATGTATTATTTCATTTTGTCATGAATTATAAAATAAGGCATCTTCAGGACAATTATAAATGTACCTAGTTAGCCTGCACATACGTCTGATGACAATATTAAAATAAAATAGAATTTCATAATTCGAAAAAGATAAACAATGTTTGTCAAATAATAATCTAGACTTTCCCTAAAGTGCAACACTGAACTGAAATGCGGATCGTAACCGATTTATTCACTTGGCATCACTTTGTTACTTAGAGCACATTAAACTGGGGTAAGAATCTAATAATAATAAGATTTGTTTATTTTTGTATCCTCTTTGTGTTGTGAGGTGTTGCTATTGTAATGACAAATATGTAACTATTGTCTCATATCAAAACAAGATCTGCCATGTGGCAGCTGTGTGAGTAAAACCTTAAGTTGATAGAAATATTCCTGTGAGATATAAAATGTAATAGTCATGTTGTCAGCTGCTACGACCTATGATATGTATGTGTTCTGTGTACTGATTTATGTAACATTGGCAGCTATTTGGTCTGAGCTACTCTTCTAGTGGCATCCCTCAAATGTCAAGATCTAAGAAAGAAACTTGAAAAGCATCTCTCTATGTTTGAAACACCCTCCTGATACCATTAAAGTTTTGTGGATGTCATTCTAGAATCTGTTCATGAACTTTGAGGCTAGAATAGTGAGGTCCCACAGAGTCACTAGAGTGTGCACTGTTAGTGGACATACGGCGCTATGTCTTCGAGCACTAGACTTCATAGGCCGTTATGCACTCTAGCGTTCTTACCTATGGAAAGGATCAAAGGAATATGAAATAAGTGTGAAGTATGGCAAAGCTGGCCACCGGCATGCGCCCCATTATTTCCACACAATAATACTTGGTTACTTGGTTAAGATACGGCGCAGCACCGACGAAGGTATTAGCGCCCCCTCTCCGCCTCGTTTTCAAATTGAGTCCAGTAGTTGGGTCTTGCGCAGAAATTAAATTATCATTTCAGGGTCCAATGGTGGAGAGAAAAGAGTGCTCAGAGAGAAAGGGAGGTTCAGTTGCTGACAGGCAGTGCGCAAGGTGTGTTGTTGTTGAGTGTATAATGGGCAGTCGATGAAGATGTGTTTTATTGTTTGTTGGCAATGGCAGGAGGAGCATGTAAGCGATGGGGACTTAGTGAACAGGTGACTGTGTGTGGGGAGGCATGTTTCCAGTCGTAGGCGGGTGATGGCTACTTGTTGGGGTCGGGGCAGTTCTGTAGGGGTGAGTGAGTCAAGTTTTGGGTTTGACTTGGTGATGTGGGCAGGTAGGGCTGACCAGGCATTATGCCATACGCTGCGGTAGTGCTTAGCGATCTTGACTTTCCAGTCTCTCGTACCCAAGGCAAGGTTGGTCGTGTTGGCTAAATTCAGTGCTGCTCGTGCCAGAGCATTTGCAGCAACATTGCCTGCGATGCCAGTGTCGTGGCACCCACTCAAGCGTTAGTTTTCTGATTGTGAGTTGGCTGCATGCCTCGATGATCTATGGGACTAGGAAGTGCGTGGGTGCGACGTTAGAGTGCAGGGCTGATATACAGCTGAGTGAGTCACAGAAAACGACAAAGTTGCCAGGTAATGTTGAGATAAATTTGATGGCGCAGTAAATGGCATAGAGTTCAGAGGTGAATATTTAGGTGTCGGGTGGAAGTTTGGCTTGCAGGTTGAAGTTTGTGGAGTAGACTGCGCAGCCCGACCTATCCTGGGAGACTGATCCATCAGTGTAAACCAGGGTGTGGTTGGAGTAAGACTGGGATATTAGGTCTTGAAAGCATTGATGCCACTGTTCATCGGAGAGGGAGGGCTNCGCGTCGCGCCTCAAAGAGTGGGTCGTTGGTCCTTTCACCACTTCTTCTGGAGAAGTGAAGAGCGAGGCACTCCGAAACTTGCTCTGGTTTGGCCATTATATTGTCCTGCTGGGTTAGAACTATTGAGCGAGGGGCCGTTTTGGTGGAGAGGGAGCGGACCTTTTTCCACACCACTGCGCTTTGGGTATTGCTTGTGATGGACGAAAGAAATTTGTTCCAGCTTGCCTTTCTGGATTTCACCACTGTGTTCCGGAAGATGGCACGGGCACGCTTGAAGGCTATCCAGAGATCGACGTTGCCAGGATGATTTTTGTATCGGGACAGGGCACGGTTTTTTGCTCGGTGGGTCGCTGCACACTCCCTCGTCCACCAGCACAGTGATGGGTGGCGGAGTTTGCTTTCTGTTTTAGGAATGTGGGCAGAAGCTGCTTTTAGGATGGAGGACACAACAGTGCCACATGCCTGTGTTGGGGATAGGAAGTTGCTGGGAAGGTTTAAGGATGCTTGAAATTGGGGCCAGTTGGCAGAGCGAGTCTGCCAGCGTGCTGTGTCTGTGTATGGCTTTGTTAGGGTGGAAAGCACTAGCGGGAAGTGGTCGCTGGTGCATGGGCTTGAGTGTGGGGTCCAGGTGTATTGTGGAGCTATGTCTGCTGTAGTGATGGTGAGATCAATGTGACTGTAGTTACCACTAGATGTTAGGTAGGTTGGTTCTGACGTGTTGAGGAGGAAGAGGTTTGAGTCATGTATCCACTTGTGAATTAAGGTTCCGCGGGGGTCAGAGTGGATGGACCCCCATGAGGGGTGGTGGGCGTTTGAGTCACTGCAGATGATGAATGGTTTGGGGAGCTGGGTGATAAGAAGAGGAAGTTCGGTTTGTAGCACTGTGTTGGGTAAGTTTGGGGGGAGATAAAGAGAGCAGACTGTGAGTTTGAGTTGAGGTAAGTGTATTTGGCTTGCACAGACTTCGAGTGAGGAGACTATTGGAAGGTGAAAGTGTGGGATAGTGGGACGGACTGCCAGCAGTACTCCCCCTCCCCTACCGCATGCCCGGTCACATCGTGCCATTGGTGTCTGGTATCCTCGTAGGTTGCATAGTGTGTTTGGGGCAAGAAATGTTTCCTGTAGACATAGTACGTCTGGGCTGAGATCAGCTATTAATTTTTGTAAGTGAGGTAAGCGTGCTAGAAGTGACCTGACGTTCCATTGCAGTATTGTGAAGTTTAGCATGTGTGTGCGATGGATGAGTGCCCTATCAGTTTTAGTGACTCTGAGACTAGTGAGTCAGCTTGTAGGATTCGGCCAAGCTCAGTGATGCATTCTATCTTGTCTGTGAGTTGTGTGGCTAGGAGGAGGCGAATCATTAGTGGCAATAGTTTGATGAGAAGCTGTGTGAAGTCTAAGGCAATTGGTGTTGTATGAGTGGATGAGGTAGGGGTGGGCAGAGTTGTAGGCTGTGTTTGTGAGGTAGGTGAAAGAGGAGTACACTGTGCAGGTAGTGTTTCTGGTTGGGAATCTGGGAGATTGGGTAGGTTAGAAAGTGATGTGGCTGCATACAGGGGGGTGTGTTGTGTGCGTTGTCCTTGTGTGAGCCAGGTAGAGGTTTGAGTGCTACTTGCGTGAGGTTGAGAAGCTATAGTTGGCCAAGCAGCGGTAGTTGGAGGAGGCGGAGAGGAGGCACGATTGTTCATCATTAGTTGGGAGAGGCTTGGAAACGCTTGCTCCGAGTGTATGAGAGGCGCTGGTTGTGGTTGCTTCTTATAACTTGTTGGTGTGCTGGTCCGGTAGAGTGTGCTGTTGGGCTTCCGGCCATGTAAGTCTGGGCGAGCTTCCGTAGTGTCAGCGAGGCTGCCAGTATTGTTGGACTCTGTTCTTGCTTTAGCTCTTGCCTCAGGGAAGCTGAGTCCCTCATCGGTTGTGAGTTGGCACGCTCGGAGCTCGGACTCGTAATATGGGCACTGGCGTGAGGTTGCAGGATGTGGCCCTTTACAGTTTATGCATTTGGGAGCAAGATGGGAGTTTGGACAGGCTTCTTGAGAGTGACCACTTTGGCTGCAGTGGGCACAGATGGGGCTCTGTCGTGAGCACCTAAGTTTGGAGTGGCCGTAGCGGAGGCACTGCCCACAACGAAGTGGGCTTGGGTAGTACTTGTCTACTGTGTATGGGCAGTAGCCAACTCGTATTTCATTTGGAGGTGAGGGGCTGAGGAAGGTAAGGACATATAAAGGGACGGAGGATTTTTTGGGGTCGCTTAGAAGCTTGCGGATCCCAACTACTTTATCTTCTTTGAGAATGGTCAGTAGAAAGTCTAAGGATTCATCTTGAAGTTCTGGTGCAAATATTTTTCCATAGGAGAACTGGGTTGACCAAGCAATTGTTCCGGTCACTGGGTGTGATTCTTCACCAATCTTCAGGATTTTGGCATCCAGCAAAATGTGTACCTGTTCTAATGTCTTGGTGGTTATTAGCAGGGCACCTGAGCGCTGATGTTCTACACTTTGGACTGGCCCACACAGTGCGTCCATAGCTTTGGCTATTCTGAATGGGTTCAAACGAGATAGTTTAGTCTGGGCGTCTGAGCTGGTGAGAATAACTTGGCGGGTGCTTTGGGGCAGGTTGTGTGCATTTTCCGCTGAGTTGAGGTCTATCCTTGCGCTTGAGGCTTCTGTAGTCTTTTTGAGTGGTTCATTGGTGGTGCTCATGCTATCTTTGGATGCTTCGTTGAGTAGGGGCTGTAGGGCTTGGTGAGAGTTTGAGTGGGAGGCAGGAGAATTAGGAAGGCTTTCACACGAGTCAGACAGCACCCCACTAATAATTGAAGAGGCATCTTCTTGGGCAAGGTCGACCTTGGAAGCTGCCAGCTGTTGCACCTTGGCTGGAGCATTTTTCTTGGGCTTGGAGGCATTATTAGGCGAAAGGCTGCGCTTCTTGGCAGAAGAAGATGGGGCAGGCTCAGGCTGTGTGGCTGAGCGGCGGTAAGGCTTAGACTTATGGTGCAAAGTCTGGCTTGGCGTTTCTACCATTTCCAAAGGGTTAGCCCGGGCCGTGGGCGCCGTATTGCGCCCTCGGCTTGGCCCCATGGTATGATTTATTGTCGTTCAATAGGACTCAAAGTACCTCGTATACTTTAGAATAATGTAAATTGATATGTCACTGGACACACCACGTATTATTATCGTATATGGTGCTTCGAGCGAAGGAGCGTTTTAGTCACAACCACACTGTATCACAGTTCGAACGAGACTTGACTGAAGAAGTGTTTTCAACTACGGTAATAGGCTGATGACTCCGGCACAGGCTCCTCCCAGACTCCCACGCCAGCGCCTATGTCATGTAGGTAGGCAATAAAGATGAGATATTATTGATGACAGAATATGAAACATTATCTTGTTACATGATGAGTAATATCAAATTAACATAGTAAGATTTCCAGTAGTACAATGCCAAATTTTTGCTGAAAATCGTTACGAGACGTTTAATAAAAATATCTTATTTATTGAAAAAAAGGTCCAAGCAATCAGACAACGGCTTGACATTGTATCGAAAAACTGCACTCTGTGGGTCTTGGTATGAACGAGATAAAAATGAACCCAGGACAGACTCACCAAAGGTGTTGCGCAATTAACTACTTGGCATGAAGTACGCAAAACGCAAGCGGTCAATTCTACATCTTCGGACTTGCTGCCCAGTGCCCACGATACCTGCAGCAAACTAGCTGAATGACAACAATATTTTGGAAAAAAAATGCATGGAATCATGTGAATATAGTGCAAAATTTGGAAGTCTAATTAATAGAGTAATATGAAATTTAAGCGATGATTCCGAAATTGTACAGCAATTTTCTCTAATTGTAGCATTTTCATCAGTTGTGCAAAGTTTTTGGCGCATTCTCTCATTTATGGAAAAATGCACTATTGTGCTCGCCATGTCCGTCTGTCTGTCTGTCCGTCCGTCTGTCCGTCCGTCCGCGACCTCAAGTTTTCGTCGACGAGAAAATGCGCTCTCTGTCACTCACTGCAGTGAGTACTGAGTTATATATTTTTTTATTCGGATCGAATTTAATTATGCGTTTACAAAATCAAATGCATATGTAGAAATAATTCAGCTGTTATAGCAGGTATAATATTTATAAGCAGGTATAGCAGGTAAATATTCCAGGCAGGTATAATATTTATTAAAAAAATTATTTATTTAGAAATCATATTACAATTAAATGGTATTACTTTCTGTGTGGAAGATCTTAAAACCATACCGCATTTTCAATCGAAACACAAAGTGTTTAACAATATTGTCCTAATAAATGATAGCTTCTGCTGGGGACTAGAATACTTGATAATCATTAGTTGTGTAAAGCTTAGCACTAAAACGACCTCACTATTGCGGAGCAAACGTCGAAGTCAATTGAACTAAATATAAATCTAGCGAATAAAACTAACTATGAAATAAAATAACCTCCAGATAAAAATCAAGTTGTGAAATAACCGAAAACCTTTTTCGCAAATAGAAGTAATTTTTTCTGGTGGTCTCGATCCGAAAAAATAACTTAGCCCCGAATGTTCATCCTGTTATAGAAGGTTCAGATCTTCTAGAGGTTCAGTACGGCCAGAGCTGGGAAGCGCTACTTTGAAATGTAGCGGCCGCTACCGCTACATCCTCTAAATGTAGCAGGCGCCACCGCTACCGCTACACCCACTAGATTGCAGCGCCGCTACCGCTACTGAAAATGTAGCGGCCGCTAGTAGCGCGCTACTGCCCATCTCTGAGTATGGCCTATGATCTGCCGAGCAGAACCACAATCTTTGTAGATTATGTAAATTTGAAAAGGTCTTCTAAATAGAAAAAAAAACGTTCTAATAAACGATCCTTGACTTTCTCCCGCTGTATAACCTATTCTTAACTACTGTGTTTATGCTGGTATGTCATCGTTTATTTCAGGTCAAATTCTTTTGCCAAGACATAAAGTATTGATAAAATGAATTGGCATAAAGTAATTTTGTCCAATATATTTATTTTTATAAGTATTGCAGTCTCCTCTTTGTTTAGCAGTGTTTCTCACGAAATGTTAACTGTTGTAAAGTATGAATTTGTAGTTAAATGGTAGGTCTATCGCAAAAAATTCTTGAATTGAAGCTTTACAAAAGCCTTACTAGCGCTCAGAAAATATATCCGACAACAAAATTATAACTGAGTTGAATAAAACAAATTTATACTTATATACTTTACTACAAATACAACATAAAACACAGATACACAATAAGATCCATCACTACCCAAATCTTCTAATGGACGAATAGACGAGTTGTACAATGCTATGAAAAATGAATAGCACAAATTAACTGTCTCTCGCACAAAACTCAATGAGCTTCTTACAATCAAATATAAAACGTTGTGACAGTTTTTCAACCACACAGTATTCAGAAAAGTAGTTGGGACATCATGATATGTATTATTTTGTTGGTCGTTTGATACAAAAATCTTTCCTTGAGAAGTTAGTTATATAAAAGTTATCAGCTAGTAATGATCGATAGATCCTATTAGCTAGGAAACCATGCAAACTTCAGTGCCGGTGAGACTTAAGTCGGGAAAACTGTTTTTGGAATGACATCGATTTGTCCTTTTAACTTGCATTTATTTGCTGACAGAAAACATGAAAAAGGAATAATATAATCCTATAGTGTCATTTTTAAACTTATAAATCACGGTGCAATGTCCGAAGGCCCCACTCTCATTGTTGTTATAGCACCTGGGTAATAAGTTATTATTAATATAAGTTACTAAAATTTTAAGTTAATAATAATATACAGTAAGTTGATGATAATAATATTAGAGAGAATAATGAAACCGGAACGGGATTCAAATGCATTGTTGCACTTAAGGCTTGTATATTAGATAACATCTTTGAATTAATGCTGAACCTGCGTTAAAACTACACATTGTCACTACGATAATCCACTGACACTATGATATTTTGCATAATATTACATATTTTAAAAATATATTCAGCTTTCTCGACTTGGAGCGCCGTGGATTTTACAGAGCTGAAGATATACCTGTGAATTTTTTGGTTTATACTATAACGCTAATTCTGGAGTGTATACTCGCGGAACCTTTGAAATGCAAGTTTTTCAATATGACATGAATATTACCCCATGTTATAAGTATATTTAGGAATATTATTAGAATAGTTTGTTCAGCGCGCATCTCGTTGTTAGTACGAGTCGATCTGCTACCAAAGTAATATATTTGCCTTGTTTTTGGTGTATCTGTCACGTTGTATTGAACATTATATGAGCTGAACCTCTTATACATGGGTTCAAAACAAGCCAAGAGCGTACGTGTTGATAAAGATGAGAGAAAATCCCAGCAAGTCAGTAAAGAAATAATTGCCCAACTTGTCTCCAATCTAGTCTTCCAATTTAGGACAGTAAACGATCTCGCCTTTCAAAAGGCTTCGGATAATGAGAGCAATTAAAGAGCTTCTCGTTTTAAACAGCAAAAAGTTAGCCAGTGAGAATAATTTCATTGATTGGAGCTGGGCTCCTAAACGTTTTCTATCATAAGAAATGGTGATTTTTTAGCCATTTTCTTTCCTTTTAAATTCTGTTTAATGTTTATGCGATTTAAGCAATCAATTTTAACGATTATGTTGCGACATGGCGAATATAATACCTGGTCAAGTAGTGAATATGCACTAACGCTTGTTCCATTTTTGTGGGTCTTTTATCCATTTTGTTCATCACCGAATTCGTTCTCGACAACCTTAATTAATTGTAACGACTTTCAAAGGAACCGAGTTACCTTTGCATGCATGCGGGAAGGCCTTTAAGTCTAAAAATATTGTTGGCAGAAAAATTGATCAATAACGTTGAATATATTGAATTATTCCATCAAAGATATATGTTCTGCTGAGCTAGGGGCAGTGACGCCAGAACCCGACTCAATAACTGCCTTTTTGCAACGTTTTAAAACGTTTTGGCAATTGAAAAATAATTTCAATGCCTAATGATTTCCATTCATGATACTGGCATGAATGTTATTGCAGGTGCCAAATAATTTACATGATACAAAAATATAACATTGCGAAAGCCAAAAGAGTGATTTGTAAAACATTTTCTCGCGCAGCAGCTTTCATTATCATCGTATCAGAAGAAGGCAGCATATAAATAGAATGATGATAATTATCTTTTATAAAACTCTTGATATGCTTCACTATTTCATTATAACAATGTCATCATTAACATGATAATATTAACATTAATATGATGACAAAACACTTGATATACTTCATAATTTCATAACATCAATATCAACATTAACATGGACATTCATTTGTATATTTCCCCTTCGCAAATTAATGAGTTTGATATCAGAATACTCGAATGTGACTTTTAACAAAAATTCTGGGAATTCGAAATATTGTTAGAGAAATGCTACAATGATTCTACGAAATTTTGTTATATGTTAGATCATGTACGATAATGAGAATTGGAACATTTAGAATTAGGTTAATCACATTTCAAACAGTCAACTGCGGCTGATAAATTTGATACTACCAGGAAAATGTTATCAATGAGCTATGCTAAAATTCCAATGTATGTTTTTTGTCAGTCCCACGAATTATATGAAGTAATTGGTAAGAGTTAGTAGGCTGATGGATTTTTGAAAAATATTTTCATTGAAGATTATATCAGCAATATACATTAATGTTGACATTGTACTGGCATCCACAACAATTTCCATTATAGTATAGGATGGTGACATGCAAATTACACAATGAGTTCGGTAAGGACATCATTCTCGTGTTGTGCTAAGATGAGGGTTACCAGCTTAGCTCCAGTTCCGTATTCCCTCGTTTTGGCCGCCCTCACGCTCAACAGCTTCAATGGCTCTCCCGCACTCACGCACGGTACAGTGCTTTTGCCACCTTTGTCTAATTTTATATCAGATAATACGAAGATTTCTCTGTCTCTCGAGTCCCAAGAACGAGATCTTGATAGACCATTTATCGAGGAACGAGGTCGTTTAATTAATAAAGAATATTTGTTCGAATTCTCAGCTGATGAAGCTTCTTGAGACTTTTTAATTGGCTTGAACCGAGGAATCGTGTTATGTTCGCGACATGCTGCTTCAGGAACAAGAATGTTTCTTGAAACGGGATCAGATATAATAACTTCTGGTTTCATGTTGGCTTCGCGGTCACCATCAGAAACTGGTACATTTTTGACTAGGTGGTCAAACTCACATTGTATTCCAACAGAAGTACTTTGCATCGCGTCTTGAACGTTTTCCGATGGCGCGACATGAAAATCACAAGCTTGGCAGTTACTATGCGAATTAAACTTGTCTATCATTGCGAGAGAATCTTCTCCGAACTGACGTTCAACCGAACATTGGTTTCCTATAGAAGTGAACTGTCGTGCGTCTTGTGGGTTATGGGTTTGTGCACAGTGAATGTCAATTGTTTTTCCATTACTGTGCGGGCTAAACTTGTAATGCACGGACGGTGAAGGTTGGTTTACGTAAGGTTGTGGAGAGTCCTGTTTCCGTGCCAAACGGTTGTTCACCTCTTGTTCTGCTACGCGGACTGCGATGCAATTGCGGCATGATGCCCCGGCTGTTGTTTGCAGAACAATGCGAGAGGAGTCTGTGTGACATTAAACTAATAAATATATATTGAAATGAATTATATGTACTAGAAATGGACTTTGAAGCAAGATTTTGTTATATAAAAGTTTGGAAGTTTTTTTAGTTGCATTACTTCTGTTTGAAGACAGAGGGAAAATTTAATAATATGAACGGAATGTAAAATCGTTTGGATTGTCTATTACGATTAACAACGGAAAAACCCTTGAGCATAAAATCTCGCAATAGAATTTAAATAGATGCAAATATTGATACTAGCTTCTTTAGACTTCAAGATCGTACTTATATATCTTAATATGAAGTTACAACTTTATACCATCAACTTGAATTTTGATCTGAAATGAGCTCACTAGCAGGTTAGCTCTGATGTGCTCGGCATCGATAGATATTCCTGGAAGCTTTAAAATTAATCTACATTACACGATTCCCGTTAATATGAAAACAACTATTATATAATAATTGAAAGAAGACCTATTGAAACTCGCATTTAACATGGAATACTTTTATTGTACTTTTCATGTAAAATTTGAATATATACTTAAATTGTCGTATATACATGTTTAAAGTCCTTCTTTTACTTTTGGTCTAACTCTAATCCTTCTCTCTCGCTTTGCAATACCATACAATTCCTCCTATATTTTCAGGTGAAGATAATATTCCGACGCGATAATTATCGCGGAAGCGTGCCTGAATAGCAAACACAAATTTTAACAATTATAATTGTATGAGATTACAAGTTGCAATATTCCAGCATGCCTCACCGCTAGGTTCTGGTGCTCTGAAGAACGGCTCCTTCTGCAGCCTCTTGGCCAGCCACTCCGGCAAACTTTTAATGATCTCTTGTCTGCACACGAAAATATCTTCAAAATAAACTTGCTATTCAACACAGGAATAAATTAGAGCAAGTTGGCGGTACACGCAAATTAAATATGGAAAAAGTGCGTGAATTATGTTTGATGTAACATTACGTTTGGATTAAAGTCAAAAAATAACCAACTGGTGAGTCATAGTTATACTGCGTACGTCCGAATAGCCTGACACACACGTCGATATTGTACTGTCGATACTGTACTGTCGATACTGTACTGTCGATACTGTACTGTCGATACTGTACTGTCCTGGTGACACTGTACACCACAACACCTGTAACACCTGCACACCACAACACCTGTACACCACAACACCTGTACACCAGAACACCTGTAACACCTGTACACCACAACACCTGTACACCACAACACCTGTACACCACAACACCTGTACACCACAACACCTGTACACCACAACACCTGTACACAACACCTGTAACGCGTCGTGATGAAGACATAGAAGACAGGGTTGTATGCACAGGAGCTCTTGGCCAGCAGGACGGGGGCGATGGCCGCGTATGGCGGGGGTTTTTGCCCCCCGAGGACGCCGTAGTAAAGCGACATTACGGCGTAGGGCATCCAGGCCACCACGAAGCCCAGGCACACTGCCACTGACACCTTTACAATAAATGTTTTAGCATTATATTATTATATCATTATGGATCTGATATATTTTTTGACATAAATACATTATCAATTGTTTGCTTAACTTGCTTCTTCATCAAGAATTTAACAGCAAAGGAAACTCCACGCAAATTAACCATATGTTTAATCATTGAAAACGTACGACGATACGTATGGTTTTCAATGATGATATGCTAAATTTGCTTAGAGTCTTCTTCATTTTTACAACACTTCTCTAAATTCACTTCCTGTTGTTTGTTTCTCTACTATAAATCTTATAATCGATATTTAACACACTTTTACCTGTCCATTCGATCTGAAATTTTGCACACTTGACTAAAATTGGAGACAATGCATGAATAAATTGACAGAATAATCAATTTTCAAGATATAATATATTTTTATATATTAAAAAATATATTTCTTTCATATTTGAAAATAGAATTAGTAATTCACTGTACATGTGTAACATCGGAGACACTGGGATTGTTTAGATGTTTTCTCTTTATAAACGAATTTTTAAATACATATTATTAAAATCTTCGGTTATCCAATTTATCATAAAACAGTTCAAACTAACACTAAATTACACGTATCACCGTACGCTTTCTAAAAATGTTATGCCAGAACCTACCGCCGTGAGCTGCAGGTCGGACGGCGTGGACTCCTTCCTGGCCCCCGACGCCCGGCAGCGCAAGCTGTTCTGGTGCACGCGGTAGAGCAGCAGCGAGTAGCTCCCCACCATCACCAGCGTCGGCGACAGCACCACGAATATGAGCGTGACCAGCAGGTATATCTTGCCAGCTGTAACGTACAGCACCACGAATATGAGCGTGACCAGCAGGTATATCTTGCCAGCTGTAACGTACAGCACCACGAATATGAGCGTGACCAGCAGGTATATCTTGCCAGCTGTAACGTACAGCACCACGAATATGAGCGTGACCAGCAGGTATATCTTGCCAGCTGTAACGTACAGCACCACGAATATGAGCGTGACCAGCAGGTATATCTTGCCAGCTGTAACGTACAGCACCACGAATATGAGCGTGACCAGCAGGTATATCTTGCCAGCTGTAACGTACAGCACCACGAATATGAGCGTGACCAGCAGGTATATCTTGCCAGCTGNACGGGTCGCACCACTCACCGTAGGACGGGTCGCACCACTCACCGTAGGACGGGTCGCACCACTCACCGTAGGACGGGTGTCCCACTCACTGTAGGACAGGTTGTCCCACTCACCATAGGACTGGTCGCCCCACTCACCGTAGGACGGGTCATCCCACTCACCGTAGGACGGGTCATCCCACTCTAGGGTGCAGGACGTGCCGAAGGGCTCGACGTCGTAGTCGCCGGCGCCCAGCAGCGGCAGGGTCGCCCAGGCCGCAGCGAACACGAAGATGCCGGCGATGATGCGGCGCACCTGGTCGCTGTCCAGCCACGCACCTCGCGCGGGCAACATAAGAGTCATAATAATTATTGGCGAAATTATATCGTTTATGTTATAATAAACAAAATAGGTAATTAAAGTGGAAATTAAATTGTTGTTTAGGTTATAACAAAATACATAACTCAGTACTCACTGCAGTGAGTGACAGAGCGCATTTTCTCGTCGACGAAAACGTGAAATCACGGATGGACAGACAGACAGACAGACGGACGGACGGACATGACATGCACAATACTGCTTTTTTCACATAAATGAGAATTGCTAAAAATGGATGGGCAAATTCACCGAGCGCTAAAAGTAGCATCTATAATTATCTTAATAATAATTGCGGTGGAGATTAGATTGTAAAGGTTACGCTCCAAGGTGGACCGGAAGAAAACACAAATTTTGGAAATTATTAATTTCTCTTTGATTATTTCTCCCCCTAATTTCGCCTATGCACATCATCCATGCGGGCTCCACAGTAATTTCCTATTGAACCATTTCCCGCTAAGTAAGTGAAACCGTTTTTCGATTAGTAAGTGAAAATTTAAATAACAATAATTTATAGCGAGATTTTAAATTCAGAAAATTTTTTTCAAAAATTAACCTGGAATATGAAGGTGATGCTTCTGAAATCATTTATATTATTCCATTGCCAGTTTGGTAAAAAATTTAAAATTAATCGGTTTGTGTTCAAAAGTTTAGCTAGTCTCCCTCTGTAGACCAAGGCTGGTGATTCAGGGGATTTTATTAACTTTTATTATCATTTTGAAACAGTAATAAAGTGTATAATTTTACTTATATTATATTCAACATTGATTAATTTTATCAGATAAAGTTGATATTGAATCTACGTTACGGCGCGACTACCTAGCATGGCTGGTTACTATTTCTTCAGCGAGCAAAACAGGTCACGTTTATCGCAGTATTTTAGTGAATATTAGTGAGTGTTTTCACCTAGTCAAAATGTTTTCGATATGTGTTGCTTGAGCGAGAATAACCATTAAGATCATAAGTTAAATACTAACGAAAAAATAACATCATAATCTACAATAAAACTTGCTGCAGAAATTGAAAGAAATAAAATACATTGTTTAGAACATCACAGAAACATTAAGCGATAAACGCGATATCGTCCGAACAATTATAATGGGTTGATTTTATATAACAAAGTAATTTAACGTTCAATATTTTGTGCTGCAGTTGCCACAACCACAGCTTCAAAATTGTGACAGCGGTATATTAAAATAGACGTATTGTAACAACGTTATGTAGGGACAATCAATTGGAAAATTATAGACTGCAAAAAAATTTTGGTAAATGAAAAACAGGCTTGGAGGTCCTATGAGTAACAACCAATTTGATCTATATTTTGTTTCCTAACTTACAACTAAATTAACTGTCACTTCTTCTGAAATATCAAATAAATATGTATGGTAGATTTTGAAAAGAATACATTTATTATATGAAATTATTCGCTAAATGTAAAATTTGAGATCTTATAACAGTTTTTCTTCGCTCCACCCCACTTGGAAGCTACGTAAGTTATTTTGCATCCCATTAGCTAGTTTAATTAGCTCAGCTCTTTAATGCTGCCACACTTACAGCGATGAGGTAGGATTCATGATACTTCATGGCATCATTAGTTAGATTAATTGCGCATGCAATCATGCGCATAATTTTTTCTTGCTGAGGCGGATTGCATGTTCAACATTTGTATCTCATACAACAACACGTATTTAATAAGAACGCATTGTTCCGATGGCTCCGAAGAAAATATCTCCAGCCCACGCAAACTTTTGTTCTGTGTGACAACGAGCCTTTGTACTTTTGAACCTAATTACACCTAATTACTTCAAACAGTTTAAGTCACTAAAGGGTAATAAATTTATATAAATTTTATACGATTCTTTGTGTCGCGGTCATCCACGTGTAAGGAGCCTACATGAGCAACTCTACAGAATGTCAGACGAAGGTTGGTGTTTTGTAAGTACGAAAAGCAGTTACAGATTAAATAATGAAGAACGCTCTTAGTTGTGTTCTCTTACGTTTGATTCTTGGCTAGCATGTAATTGTTGAAGAACTTCTTCGTTTGCTGGCAGCTGAACTTCTGTTGTGTTGACTAAGGAAGTTTTATGTTAAACTATTCACTAATGCATAACTATAATTGTATTTTATAAGGACATTTTTATATATTGCAGATTGCGGGCTTTGTATCCCCAGAAGTATCCACCGACTTTAAAATACAGAGACTTTAATTTTCAACGAATTTTGATATTGAACCTGAATTATTTCTAGGTGAAACTGCAAGTTTTTCAGTGAAGTTGCATAAATTGAATAAATTCCGTTAAATACCATGTAATGTAAGTGGTAAATACCACCAGAGTTTAGTACTTACCTGTTCAAGTAGGTAGTGATTATGGAATATAATAAAAGCGATAGAAATTATGAAATATGATAAAAGCGAAGAATCAATTAGCAATTCAGCTGCCGATTTTTAACAGTGTACAAATAATGACTCGTGTCTCATACGTTTTACTTGCCATTAGATTGTAATGAAATTTAGTTAGCAGCTTGCAGGCAATCACCAAACTGCGTGATCGTTACCAAGTGTATTGTAGCATGGAAGAATATCTTGCAACGTAACATGAGGGTTTGCTATCGGTTGATAAATATTACATGCTACCATCAACCAGTGTGTAGTACATGCTACCATCAACCAGTGTGTGGTATTACCAGCAGCTCTGGAGCAGGTCTTCAGGTATCGCACCAGTGCCAGCATCATCACCGACGCCATATTCGCAATGCCCAGGAGGTAGCAGACAAAACCGTACAACTGGCAGCCTGCAATATTAGAGCAACGTTTCAGAGAATGAAATATTTGACTCTTGCGAACCGTACATATCCGAACATTCCCGTAACTATACGTTTCACTCAGATTGCATTACTAAACATCTCATGGCAGGAATTCTCACCAAGTTCACCAAAGATCCAGCGGTGTGCGAAAAGAGATATCATGGTTGCAGGGTAGGAGCACCCGGCCAGCAAGAGGCTGATGAAGGAGAGGTTCAGCAGCAACAGCTCCCCTGGTGCCAGCTTCTTCCCTCTGCGCCAGAACATGGCGACACTCGCGCCGTTACCGAGCACCGCCACGACACCTGGTGGCAAGTTACTATCTTAACATGGCCACACTCGCGCCGTTACCGAGCACCGCCACCACACCTGGTGGCAAGTTATAGTCTTAACATGGCGACACTCGCGCCGTTACCGAGCACCGCCACGACACCTGGTGGCAAGTTCCTATCTTAACATGACGACACTCGCGCCGTTACCAAGCACCGCCACGACACCTGGCGGCAAGTTCCTATCTTAACATGGCGACACTCGCGCCGTTACCGAGCACCGCCACGTCACCTGGTGCCTGGTGGCAAGTTATAGTCTTAACATGGCGACACTCGCGCCGTTACCGAGCACCGCCACGATACCTGGCGGCAGGTAACAATCTTAATTTTTTTGGTGCTGGGGTCAGTTGAAGTAACATTTTGGTGCGTGTAATTAAGCCCCATCCACACGCTCAAACTTATCGTCAGTCCTGCATGTCATGCCAAAGTTTGACCGACAAGACGGAAGACTGACGAGCGTCCACACGTTCAAACTTTCCTTCAGTCTTGTGTGCTCGCGGCAATGGAGGAGGCAGTGCTGCTCGCTGCAGTGATCGCAGTTTGTGTCACAAAAATTTGGTTAAAGCGATGCAACGTACGCGGTGGTCCCGAAAATGGTTTTAAAAGAAAATACCACAATGTGGGTTGATAGACAGCATTGCTATCTGCACCAGACAGCATTGACGACTTCATTTTGGCACATTATTTTCTATAAAGAGTTTATTTTCTTCGTTACAGTCTTTGTTTGCTGTAGGATCAACTTATCTCATGTTCCTGCCACTGTAGCTTTTTGATTGAATTTACCGCAAACAATGGAAACTACGATATAATTCGATAAACTCACCAAAATAAATCGTGAAGCCAATGTCGCATATCTTGAAATGTGAAAAACTAGAGCTAGCGAGGAACAATGTCTCAGCGCTCAACATCAATATAGTCTGAGATATGGTAAAAGTTTGACCAATTAATCGGTTACCCGTCCACACGCTCAATCTTATCGTCAGTCTTGTATGAATTAACCCTCGCCCTTCCGTCTTTTCCAGGTTTGTCAAATCTCAAAACCCGCCCACACGTCATGCAAGACGTCAAACTTTGAGCGTCCACAAGCTCTGTCTTGTCTGCCAAACCTGGCATGACATGCAAGACTGAAAAGTTTGAGCGTGTGGACGGGGCTTTACGAAAATTCATTGCCAGAACTCGAAGAAAACAAGCAGTATTGTAGACGTACAGTACATGGTTTTTCGTTTCTTGCGTCTTTTCGTTCTTTCGTTTCGATCACAAAGCCTTGAATTGCGTCACTATATAAACGTTTCATCAGTCATCAATATTACAAAATTTAATCTTGAGACAAGTAAACCAACTCATATAGAATTTAATTTAAAACGGGTGATGAATACTTCTTTGAGTAAATTTTTTTTGTATAACATCGCATTTGAAATCTGTGGTATAACGACATAAGTGAAACGTGCCTGATGGAACCCCTGCCTGAAACGTGCCTGATGGAACACAGGAACCCCTGAATTATGCGGAAACATATATTAAATCTTAAGTCTTCTTAGTTGAATTACTCAGCACCTTTGCATTTGTGAGTATAATTATTTCAGAATTATTGTGCTCAAGCTTTATCAAATTTGAGACACTTGATATTATTTTATTTTTAATAAAAAATTGGCTCTTTCAACAAACACGCAGCGTGACTCAAACTATCTCAACTAAAAATTTTTATTTCTCTATAAACTTGGCAAAGCTGAAACTTGGCAAACTTGGCAGGTCAATAATCTGCTCAATATTACGAATATATTAAATATCTTTAACATTACTACCAGCTGCATTCATTTGGGACGAGTTCATGAAGGTATAAATGAAAGTGCAAACTGGAATTGACCGCAGTGAATCCTCCTATTACAGCCACGAAATTAGATTTCCCATCTGCAAATTGACTCCAATTATTAAGTTTATAATTTTTAGGCTCCATGCTATATTGGATTATTCAATTTAATAGCAAGGGAAGCTCTTAATGTGGAAATATTATTAGAAATACTTTAATTGCGGCTGATATGACGCGGCAGTTGGACATCGTACGAAGGAGTATTCTGTTTAATAATCCTACAGAAGCATCCGCATCGCGGTGTTCATGTTTTATTTCAAAAAATGTGATTTTAAATTAATTTCAAAATATAATTTCAGTTCAGAGGTAGATAGATCTGCGTTGAGATGTTAGCAGGATGAAACGTATAGAAAGTTTAACGTCGTGAACAACATCTGAAAGTTCTGCCGTCTCCATTTCTTCAGTTGTGAACGGACTGTTCATTTGTTATGGGACTATAAGGTGAACTGCCAAGAAGCAAACTAAACAATTTGAACGATAATTTCTCTTCACATGTCAGACTTAAACTACAAAAAAAATTAGGTTAATACATTTTACAATAAATTGCATTTCCTGTAAAAGTTAGCCCAATGGCTATAGATATAAGAATATGTTACGGAATTTTTCGATATTTTTGGAAATTAAAAGGAATTCATTTATAACGTCTACTGAAATTATGAGCTCAATTTGTTTCCGTATGAATTCTGTATCATTGATGCATAAATTAATGAGTTTCCCCCAATATTACCTCGACGTCATTGTTGATAAAAATCTATATCTATTTCGATCGGATATAAGCACAAAAATTACTAGATTGCTTAAGTCGCAAGTTTACCAGGAATTTAAAAGCAAAGAAAACAGCCAGAATATTAACCATTTCTTAAGAATGAAAACGTTTCGGAGTCCAGCTCCATCGTCAGTTCAAAAGTTCAAAACCTATAAGAAAATAAGAATCAATTATCGGAATATACTTATTGATCAAATCTTTCAATTCCCTAGCCATAGTCTCAGATGCTTTACCGAAGTAGGGAAAAGAACAATAAATCAGGTTCCTACTGTCACAATCGGGAACAACTTCATTATATTGCCTTGACATGAATTTCTTAATTTGACTATAAATCAGTTGCGATGGAAACCCGTTTAAAGAAAAAATGCTGCGCAAAAACTCAAATTCAGTGTGCATAGCATTGAAAGTTGAACAAATACGGAAGCCACGATTTAATAATGTTTTAATCCCATTTAATTTAAAACGAAATGAGCAAAAACTAAAAAAGCTGGTGTTTAAACCGGTAAACGTTGGCTTTCTGAACACAGAGGTCTGGAAACGGCCATTAGATTTTCTTATAGGTTTTGAACTTTTGAACTGACGATGGAGCTGGACTCCGAAACGTTTTCATTCTTAAGAAATGGTTAATATTCTGGCTGTTTTCTTTGCTTTTAAATTCCTGCTATATCTATTTATTATGAGTATTTATTTATTTATTTATTATGAGTATTATCCGTCCCGTTCTCCATGAGAATTGATCTATTTAGTTCTGAGTCAAAATTAAGACATAGTTTGATGAAGTTATACCCTCACAAAAGAGGTTTTGGTTCATCTTATCCTATAGAGTTGCCTAGTTAGTGACTCGGCGCCTTTACATGAATAAAAATTTTGAAGGTAAATATTCTGGGGTCGTAATTGGAATTTGTAAATTATTGTCTTTTGTTAATTACGCATATATTTTTCCAATTTCTTCACAGCAACTCTGCCTCATTTAAAAAAAATAATCGCTTCAAAATTCAAAGCACATAAACCGTTTCTCATTGCGGAGCTTTTAGCGTCCTGACGGTCGCTAAAATCCTCCACAACTCGGTCGCCTAACTTTGCCGTAGTCTTAATCCCGTTCTCCTTCCTGTTCTCCTTCTCATTCTCCTTCCCGTTTTCCTTCGCGTTTTCCTTCCCGTTCTTCTTTCCGTTCCTCCTTCCCGTCCCACCTTCCCGTTATCTTTCCCGTCGTTCTCCTTCCCGTTCTCCATCCCGTTCTCTATAAGAATGGAATAGTCTTCCAAAAAATGCGCTGGAAGGAACTGAAAAAACCACCGCCTCTCTGATGGTGGTCCTCACTTTTGAAGTCTTGTGTATCATATCAACAACCTCATTCCAGGCTTCAGCGGAAGAACGGAGGACTTCTTAACTTCTGTCAGCATGAGAAATGGATGGTGCGCACAGAGTGCATATAGTGAGAGATAAAGCTCGATTGGAATAGTGCACATGGAGCGCATATTGTGAGAGATAAAGCTCGATTGGAATAGTGCACATGGAGCGCATATTGTGAGAGATAAAGCCCGATAAGAATAGTGCACATGGAGCGCATATTGTGAGAAATAAAGCCCGATAAGAATGGTTTGCTCGGAGTGCATATAATGATCAAGCACGATCGATATGGTGTGACGATTAACTTTGAAAAATATTGGTAAAGTCACAAATGCACCGCAAACCTGAACTGAAGGTTAACTCTGAAATCAAATGCCCCCAGCCGCCACGTGTACCTGGATAAATTTGCGACGTACGGCTGCAATATCGTGAGCAACTCACGTTAAATGTTTGAATTTGTCGAGGACTCTACAGTCTGTGAAACTCAATATCCATCCTAAATAAAGCGCAGGAGAACTCGCAGTTTCGCCTTTTTCTGCTAGTCATATTTTTTGTGCCCACGGCATGTTCTTCATCTGATACTGCCGAGTTGATCTTTTCGGGCGTGGAAGACATTTTTCATGAGGAAAATACCAGTAGCTACTATTTTTCGCGCAAAGTTTAATCGCTTCACGTAATAGGCATAATTCTTCAAATTCAGCTTATAATAATTTGAAGTAATCGAAATTTATACATCGAACTTGTTTTTACCCATAATATTCAATAACAGTTATAAGAAGTTGAAGCGGCCGAGGCACTCAAACCCACATTTCTGATTTTATCGAGTTTCTCCTTAACGACACCCCGCTCCCTCGCGCTCATTAAGCTATCGTCCGCCAATTAGCGTTTATTAATCGCGTTGCATAACTAGATGATCTTTTGAGTGGAATCAATGAAAATCGGGAAATAAAAGAAAACGCCATGCAAGTTTACCATATTTTCAATGAAAACGTTGCGGCGACAAGCTGCATCAGCACCACAAAAAGTATATTTCATTGCTTTTCATGATTCATTGAACGCTAAAAATTGTAGAAGAGTTTGCACTCACCGACGATGGCGAGGAAAGTGCCAGCGATGATGTCCTCCTCCCACGTGAGCTGCGACGTGTACTTATCTTTGAAGACAGGAGGTCTGGTGGGTGCGTGGGTGTGGACCCAAGCAGTGGAAACCAGTGGGGTGGTGGTGGTGTGCTGGAAGGGCACCGGTGGGGTGGTGGAGGTGGTGGTGTGATGGAAGGGCACCAGTGGGGTGGTAGTGGTGGTGTTGGTGTGATGGTTGGGTATCAGTTGGATGGTGGTATGGTAGTGGTATGGCAGCGATGGGTTGGTGGTGGGGTGAGGGTAAGGCATTAGTGGGGATGTAGTGGAGTTATAGTTTGGTACCAGAGGGGTAACAACGAACGGGTTAAGACCTAATCCCACAATGGCAGGAGCAAAATTGTTAGGATTTTTTGTTGGATGTTCAAAATTTAAGCTGGGATTGCTAAGCCATGAGGCTTGAGATGTGGCATGGTGGTTTTGTCTTAAATTCGTAGATGCTCCGGGCGTTTGATCAAAGGGTGACTCCGAGTCCACGTGGGTTTGATGACTGCTTAAGTTGAAATTTGAGCTCAAGTTTGCGGAATGTGTCGTGTGTGCTAAGTTGCTAGACTGGGTTACAGTGAGCGAATTTGATTGAACAGCTTTGAAAACATGGCCAGGCTTTGAAGAAGTTATGCTATGATGTCTTGTAAAGTAGGTAAATGGGTCAAAAACTTTGGGTGCAGAGGGAGTGGGTCGTCCTGGTGGGTAAAATGGACCCACTAATCGCTTCACACGGCCCATGATTTCTGAAAAATACAAATTTTATTAAAGATTTATAAATGACGTAATGTGAGAATGTCAAAGACAGATAAAGTTTATGAAAACACGCAAATATTGATTTTTATGACGTTTAAATAGAACCGTGAGAGGAATTAAGGTTCTAGGTAAGGTAAGGTAGAAGGTTATTCAGTGCGAAGGACTGAAAATTTCACTTTTTTCAGTCGGAAGTAATCATCAGAAAATCTGCACTGCACATCAGAAGTATTTTTTGGCAATATGCTGGGGGCCATAAAGTTGCCAAAGTTCTGGGCCATAAAGTTGTGGTTTTGAAGGGGCCATTTTAAAATTTTTTATTGTGGATATCTTTATCAAATGAGAATTTATTATCTGTATTATTGTATAATTATTAACGGGATTAGGGATCACTGAAATGGCGAGATTCTTAAATTGCAGGAACCATCAAGCCCAGTCAACACTATACTAACATGCTAGTATTATGTATATTTATCTAAGTTTATGTGTGGCTTGTGAGTGCCTCTGAACTTTGGGGCCTTGGCCCGTATGCCAAATAGGGCACTAGCACTACGAAGTAGCACTATGCACTGCGAAGTGTCCTGTTGGTATGCTAAATACGTCACAGACACTAAGCACTTCGAAGTAGCTCTACAATGTTTAGTGTCGCTTAGTGTAACACTACTGATTCGTATGCAGAAAGACTTTGAAGTGCTACTTTGCTGTTAGAGCACTTTATAGTGCCGCACTACGCTATGAGTCTATTGAAGAATGGTAGTTAAGTGCTCAAATAATTAATTATTCCCTAAGTAATTCTCATTCTTTGCAGAAGATTGATGTAAAATGTCTAATTGTGATGGTAATGGTACTAGTGAAAATTGTGATGGTGAGCTGAAATTCGCAATGCTTCTGCGCACCTTTCCCATCATATATTCAAAGTCCACGCTTCCCAAAGACATCGAACAAAAGAGAGAAGTATGGAAAGTTCTTGCAGAAAAGGTCAAAAATGACTCCAGAAAAAACAAAAAAGAAAATTCTAAACATGGTATCAAAAACAAGAAAAGTATTTTCTACTTCTACGCTGTTCATCTGTTTCGCCAAGGAAAATGTCAGCCATAAGAATAACATGTTGTTCACTGAAGCGGTACACTTTTTTATATTCATGGCATGCTGCTCCTGAGGTTTTTACGCCATGTCTAAAACGATGCAACCCATGTGCATGTGACGTGACCATAAACAGCGGCGTAAGCCGACTTCTGTCGGTCGCGCCTTTAGTCTTCACTTGTGTTGTTGAAGTCGACCTAGCCGGTCACGGTTCCGGTCGCTTCCTTAGATTTAGAGGCCTTAGTTTAAGTGAATATATTTGAAATTTAGTGTGTTATAACTGATAACTACTATAACTGATAACTACTATAACTGATAACTACTATAACTGATAACTACTATAACTGATAACTACTATAACTGATAACTATAACTGATAACTATAACTGATAACTATAACTGATAACTATAACTGATAACTATAACTGATAACTATAACTGATAACTATATCTAACTTATAACTGAAATTGAATTCCTCTTGTGCACCCACAGCTTCGCGATCGTCAGTGGCTGGGAGCGTACGTTGTGAGGAGTTCCTACCAACCGGAGCCTGTGCTATAGGTTTCGCCTACTTTGTGCCAGTTACCTATTTCAATAAATATATTGAACTTGTGACAAAGTCACCACATATATATTCTGTTTCCATTCCTTCATTTTTGTTATCTGTTGCTCTAAAATAAAATGAGAGAAGAACGCCAGCAAGTTTTGAATAAATAAATGGAAGAATATTTTTGTGCTTCTTTGTTAAATGGTATATACGTTAAATAGCAAATTATTAATCAGAGTTAATATGTGAACTATCAAATAAATCATTTATACAAAAACCTTTATTAATCATTAATATGAACTCAATTAAATTCTGTTCCAGTCATCCGATGGACTTCTATCGCGTGTCTTTGAATTTGGATAGTGATTTATGATCAGTTTTAGGAATTTTTTTAAAAAGAATTCGTTGATAAGTGCGGAAATGTGACCATCGAACAAACCTAGTAACGCCTCAATTAAGAAATTCTCGCACGAACTATACAATTCATTGAAATGGAAAACCTTTAATAAACTCCCTGTATTCATCATCATAAAACTCAAGGCAAGTTATTGATCAACGATGAAACTATACAGCATGTGAATGTCGTATGTGTGTTTAATAACCATGACGTGATATTTTCAACTTGCAATATTAATTATCACTATCACAAAAATTATATTTCGGCCAAAAACAATGTTATTATATGTGATAAATTAAATATATGCAAGCGCGAGGGTGAGACGACTTGAGGGTGAGGGTACCCTCATACCTTCACCTAGGTACGATATGTCTCGTTCAAACAATCATACCCAGTCAAAAGGTTAACAAACACCCGAACATATCCAGTGCAAATATTGTCTTGCCTCTGCACTAATAAATGCGCTATTCATCCGATTTGATAAAAAGAATGCAGACACGGAAAATATGGATTAGACTTAGTATCCTTAGTTTATGTTTTGGATCTAGTAGTCCCAGGTCACGATGGATGGTGACATGAGCCATCATATATCAACAAGGGTGTTGATGTTGTCCCCTCCTTTCACTCAATGTTTCCTGCCAGCTTCCAAGCTTGGCATCCCTTCATCCTTTTCTACATGCGGCCGGGAGGGTTTGAGTCAAAGGAACTCAGTTAAGGGTAATTCATAGGAAGGGGGTGGTTAGGGATTTTAAAACTACCTGCTCTTATACAATATGTACACGCAACACTCAAGCTCGCTTGCGAAAAGTTTTTTAATTAACTATGCAAAATTTCATTAACTACGCAGTATCTATCGTTGCTATAACTTGTATCAGATCACACCACGCATTTCTCAGCTTATTTTCTTCCGCATAAATTGTATTTATGGTCACTTTTTCTCTTCCTAAATTTCTACAAAATGCACTGTCACTAATGCGCGTGCAAAGGAGAACCGATACGACCGTTCGCGGTCGTAAGGGTTTGATGCCTGATGTTGCTGCAATACGCATAGTCTGCGCTCTATATAAAGCTCAATTTCTAGCTCGCCCTTCCGACGAACTGAGCGCTCTTTGTCTACGTTTCCGGAATTGACTCCTAGGAAAGAGGCGTATGCTCTGTAACAACATATGCATTGAGCTAATGATACACACACTAGCAGTGTACTGTATCATCTTACCTGATTCAGGATTACACTGTAAACAATTACATATTCCAAAGAATTATATTCTATCATAAGAAAGTGACGGGCGTAATTACACAGAGTTTAGATCAGCTATCGGTACTGCAGACAAATGACATTTAACTGAATTTGGCTGGCTAAGATTGGGGATAACATCGAGGGTAAATGGTCAGGTTTTACTCGGTGATAAATGGTGGTTATAACCTATTAAGTAGTATAAGCAAATCGTGATGATAGGCCCTCTTTTTACTATTACTTCTCACTTGCGTCAAATTCTCATTTAATAGGAATATCAAAAATTAACAAAATATCGTTGGTCACTGAATAGCGGAGTGACGGCCGCCTATACTTCAAAAAGAATTCAACATTCAAATTCTACGTTCGTGATCGAATTGCTTCACTCTGATTGGCCTGTAGAAATGCGATGTTGTATAGGTCGCCGTAAGTGAGTTGATAAAACGAAAAGAGGGGTCGATTGTTTGCATAATTAAACAATAAATGACTAAAATTACATGATATTTTATTTAATTTGATATTTATAATATTATTTCTGTTGCCTTTTGTTAGAAAATTTTGTATTGGAAATAGAACTGTGGAATAATATATTTAGTTAAATTATTAATGATAATAATGTATAATGATTGAATAATTATTATGGAAGTATTAAGAAGCTCAGAATAAGGTCGACATACCTGCTCATTCATAATTTAATCTTTTTCCATAAGTTACATATTTGATTAAACTGCACTTTTGACTAACTTTCGATAAAAGCCTCGATATTGCTTCGTAAAATAACTTATTCCACTTTTAAATTAAGCCAGTACGTTTGTGCGACTATGTTATTTGTTTTTTTTTCACCACCCCATAAGCCGATTATCTGATGTCGCCTAGGAGTTTCATCGCTCTGGTAACTGATGTTAATGCGATTTCAGTATGTATTGAATGCTGGACTCTGTTGTGAGCTGGTGATGAACTAGAGTCTATTTTGTGCAATGGACTCTAGTATGCCTCGCATTTCTATGCATCCTTAAAGTACGTTTTGTGCTTGGAGCTAGAATCCATGGCATTATTAGCTTATATATGCAACTTTTTCACACCTGGTCACGAGTATTAGTTATATCGTAATTCTTAGGAATTAATAATGTTTGTCAGCTAAAATTAGGGAATTTTGAATTTGACGGACCATGATTAAGTTAAATGTCATTGAACATCGAAAAAATCATTAAAAAAACCTTATACCTACGCAGTTACCTGAGTTGTAATCAAT